GAGTCTTGGATCTGGCAGCTTGCTTTCTCACTTTCCCTCTCTCTCTCTCCCTCTCACTCTCCTCTCTCTGGTCAAATTTAAATAAATAAATAAAGTTAAATAAAATAATTCTTTAAAAAAATATTGGGTTGTCTTGAAAGTCATAACATATTTTATAAAGATTTATGTATTTAATTCATTATTATTGTTATTATTTAATTTGACCAGAGAGAGACAGAGAAAGGGAAAATGAAAGCAAGTTTCCTGGTCTGGGATTCAAACCATGGTCAGCCATGTGGGAGTCTAGCACCTTAACCACCATACCACCTGCTGGCCCCCATAACACATTTTTGCATAGAAAAATATAGGAAAAGTACATCATAACTTTTCTGACAGCTCAATACTACAAAGGTCTATAAATGGTATTTTAATATATTTGAGGTTTACAAACATAAACTTGCAAACCCTGAGAGTCTTAAGGGTCAGAAGTAGATTACAGTACTTAGAGAGTTCCATGATGTTTTCCTTCTCCGCGTCACTGTCTGGGGATGGGCTGTCCGTTTTCACTTCTAGAAAATAAACCAAACACTTGTTTACCACCCAAAGGCTTATTGAAATTAGTTAACTGCTGAAATTGTGAAGATTTTAAAATATGGACCATATCGCCATGCTCCTTCTGTTTTTCTTTAGCTCTCCTTACATTAGCTGCAGTAGGAAAAGAGGAAGATGTGTGAGAGTGTGAGAATATATTATATTTTAATTTTTTTGAGAGGTTTTCGCTATAGGGAGCGTGCGCTCGCCAGACAGACAGAAAGAGACAGAGAGACAGAAAGCGAGAAATCACCCCCCAGGGGGGATGGTCATGCCGCAATCCCTTCTCCTCCATTCTCCTCTTGGGATCTTGGGCACGCACGCACATGCGCCCGGCGTGAGTTTTAAGCCACCGGATCCTGGACGTGAACCGCGGTTGACTATGTGGGAGTCCAGCGACATAGCCATTACGCTAACTGCTGGTCCCTTATATTTTAATTTTGACAGATACAGAAAGTGGATTCTAATGTAATAGGCATTATTTGAGATTCACTGATAGCCATACAATATATAATTTTTTATGTTAGAGAGAGAACAAACACACTCAATAGGGTCTCGTCAAGCCGTGATCCCCTTCCCCTGCTTTTTAGTTCTCAGGATCTGGGAGCCCACAGGTCTGGCAAGTTTTCATGTCATCCTGGGAATCCGAACCTGCCATTGGCCACACAGCTTCCGGCCTTTCAGGGCACCAGTGTCACCGCACCATAGCCGCTGGGCCAGCTATACGATTTTGAAATGGCACTTGTGTCTTCTGAAGATTAAGGCAAGCTCAATTATGGAATGTGGTTCTAACAGACTATAGGATCAGAGAGAGACTTCCTGAGTTTTGTCATGGAAGGAATTTCCCTCCTCTAAAGCTTAGAAATTCAAGGGCTCTATGTGAACTTTCGCTTTTAATTTTTCCTACAAAGGAATTATAACAGTATGGACAGCATATATAGGACGGATACACAGGAATACACAGGAAACTCTTACTGCAAGGATTTCTTTCTGGTTTTAATTATACAATCAAGATTTCAAAAATCATCAATATATTGTAGCTACCCTGAATCTGAATGGATTATTCTGGATGTTGAACAGTATGTTTTTAGTGTGAAAGGAGTCTACTATACTGCCTATTTCTTCTTTAATTATTATTTTTCTGAGACAGCAAGAAAGTTAGATCATTGTCACAGCATTTCTGGACAATTGCTTGTCTAAAGGGGTTTCACTAAGGTGCTGGATTCCCGCATGGTTCACTGCAGTTTGAGTTCCAGAGCCAGTGGCTTGAAAATCATGCTGAGTGTGTGTGTATGCATGTGTGTGTGCCCAAAACTCCAAGAAGAGAATGGAGGAGAAGGGACTGAGGCCTGGACATCTCCCCAGGGTGGTCATTTTTCTCCTCTCTCTCTGTCTCTCTTCAGCAAGTGCACACGCTCTATGGCAAAAACTTAAAAAAAGCTTCACCCTATCAAAATGTTTATTCTGATAATGAACATATATCATGTTCTTAGTGTAAATTAATATTTCTCAAAACTGCTTGATTTTTTTCCCTGTAGGGTGCATGGGCTCACCAGAGAGAAACAGAAACAGAGACAGAGACAGAGGGAGAAAATGAGAAATCATTCCCCCAAAGGGGATGCTCATACTGCAATCCCTTCTCCACTCTCCTCAGGATTTTGGCCATGCACACACATATGCCCACTGTGATTTTCAAGCCACTGGGTCAGAGTTGGCTGTGTAAGATCCAGTCACCTTAACCTCCACACCACCTGCCGGCTCAAGAACTGCTTGATTTTTTTTTTTTTTTGAGAGGTTTTTGCTATAGGGCGTGTGCACTCGCCAGAAAGACAGAGAGAGACAGAGAGATAGAAAGAGAGAAATCACTCCCCCAGGGGAATGGCCACACTGCAATCCCTTCTCCTCCATTTTCCTCTTGGGATCTTGGGCATGCATGCCCATGCGCCAAGCGTGAGTTTAAGCCACCGGGTCTGGGACTCGAACTGTGGTTGACTACATTGGAGTCTAGCGACATAGCCATTACGCTAACTGCTGGTCCCAAGAACTGCTTGATTTTTTTTTTTTTTTTGAGAGGTTTTCGCTATAGGGGTGCGTGCGCTCGCCAGACAGACAGAGACAGAGAGACAGAAAATAAGAAATCACCCCCCGAGGGGGGATGGCCATGCCGCAATCCCTTCTCCTCCATTCTCCTCTCGGGATCTTGGGCACGCACGCACACGCGCCCGGCGTGAGTTTTTAAGCCACCGGGTCCGGGACACGAACCGCGGTCGACTACGTGGGAGTTCAGCCACATAGCCATTATGCGAACTGCTGGTCCCACTGCTTGATTTTTGATGGGACTCATAGGAATGGATTCTTCTATGTCCAAAGACTTTCTTTTTAGCCAGATTCCAAAATAAAATCTGGTTTTATAAAGGAGATATGCTTCTTCTCTCTCTCTCTCTCTCTCTCTCTTTTTTTTTTAAGTTTGTTTCTGTCATGAGAGAGAAAGGGGAAGAGAGAAAGAGAGAAAGAGAAAGAGAGAGAGAGACAGGCACCTTAACAGGGTCTTCACACTGCAATCCACTCCCAGTTAAAGCTGGTCTAGACCATGGTATATACATATACACTCAGTGAATGGGTGCGACCACTGCACCACCACCCGGCCCCTAAAGGAAATATGTTTCTTCTGGGGAGATCATCTTTTGGGAAGAAGTTTCTTAGCAAAACACTGGTCATAAAATTTCCACAGTTATTAGATCAAGTTAATATTTTTTTAAAGAATTATTTTATTTAGCTTTATTTATTCATTCATTTATTTCATTTTTTAAATTTGACCAGAGAGGGACAGAGTGAGAGAGAAAGAGAGAGAGGGAAAGTGAGAGAGCAAGCCTCCAGGTCCAGGACTTGAACCGTGGTCGGCCATGTGGGAGTCCAACTTCCTTAACCACCATGCCACCTGCTGGCCCTCAAGTTAATATTTTTAAAAAGAATTATTAATTTAATTTATTATTATTATTTATTTACTTACTTACTTTGCTATAGGGTGCGTGTGCTTGCTGGAGAGACACAAAAAGACAGAAAGTGAGAAATCATCTCCCAGGGAGGATGGCCATGCTGCAATCCCTTCTCCTCTAATCTCCTCTCGGGATTTTGGGCACGCATGCACATGCACCCAGTGTGAGTTTCAAGCCAGGACTTGAACCATGAGGCAGCTATGTGGGATTCCAGTGATATACATATTATGCTATCTACTGGTTCCAATTATCATTATTATTTTTAATTCACCAGAGAGAGACAGAGAGAGAGAGGGAAAGTTAGAAAGCAAGCTGCCAGGTCTGGGACTTGAACTGTAGTCAGTCATGTGGGATACCAGTGCCCTAACCACCATGCCACATGTTGGCCCCTGATAATAATTTTATTTTTAGAGATTTTTGCCTTAGGGTACATATGCTCACCAGGGACAGAGAGAGAGAGAGACAGTGAGAGGGTAAATGAGGAATCACCCCTTGGGGGATGGCCACACTGCAATCCTTTTTCCTCCATCTCCTCCCAGGATTTTGGGCACTCAAGCACATGCACCCAGTGTGATTTTTCAAGCCACCAGGACAGGAATCAAACTGTGGTGGCCATGCGGGGGTCCAGTGACATAATTGCTATTCCATCAGCTGGCCCTGGTAATTTTTTAACATAAAGTTTGACCCCCTCTCTGTTAAAATTACAATCAAGTTTCCCGAGATTATCAGTATTTTTGTAGTTTTTTTTTTTTTTTAAGTGTAAAGATTTGCTTTATTTCTACTGGAGGAAGGAGGGGGATAAGTAGAACTGTTTTCCAATTTGTTTTCCACTGTATACACACACACATATACATACTTTCACCAAAAATAACCCAACAACAATAACAACAAAAATCAAAAACCAAAACACCCTTACGCTGCACCAATACTTCATATTTTGACCAAAAGAATAGATCGTGGGAGGAAGTGAGAAATGCAAAATCAAATGACAAAAAAATGCTGAACAAACAGCATTATTAATATACAAAATATTTATATTACTGAACTAGTAACAGGTGATGTTCTCCGTGTCTGTAAAACTTTGGAACCACGTAACTGATTTGTTAAATCTAGTCCATGCCAGTTTCCAAAACCAGAAAAGATTTTAGTTAGCTTCGTTCTTTGATGCCTATCAAAATTTTCTACAAGATCTGGAACATCTTCATCCTCTTCATTGGTGTCTTCTGGTTTTCATGCTTTGCTATCCAAGACTTTCTGTGAGGTCTGTCCAGTTAATTTCCTAAGGCTTGTTAAGCTGTCTGCACCAAGCTGACTTAATATTCCAGGAAGCATTTCTGTGATTGTTTTTGGCTTCTGCATGAGCAGTAACTGCAAAGGTATTAGCAGAGAGGGAAGCTTGGACTTTGGGATTGTTGAAATGAATAACTGTCCCATCGTCTTTAATCATGTTCACCTATATAAACTGACTTTTCAGATTTGAATTCATCCATTGCCCGGGACGTACTGAAATGGGAGGCTGAACGTGCACTATTTAAATTGTTACTTTTTCTATCTTATTCATTTACTTTTTCGTTTTGTGTGTGTGTGTGTGTGTGTGTGGTGTGTGTGTGTGTGTGTGTGTGTGTGTGGTGTGTGTTTTGGTAGAGTCAAACTGTATAAATTACCTGTGTAAATAATATGACCCTACTGTGTAGTTGATCCCACAGGGTAAGTTACCTTGGTGGTAACATGGTTATTATAAAAAAGGTTAGGAAGAGTTAACTCTTGGCTACTTTAGAAGCATTTCATGATCCATCCAAAAACTGCCCTTGTCACCATCAAGCTGAGATGCTGAGTGTTCTCCGCGGTCAGTGGGAAGTGGGCTTTTCTTCCCCGGAGGCGTCACCACCACTGACAGCACCAGAAAGGAAGGGGAAGAAAGGGGCTTCTAAGTTTCCGGCAAGACCTCTTCGATACCAGCTATATTATTCACAGCCAGTTTTTTTTTAGAGAACTCTGAAGTTCTGTCATCAGCAGTAGTGGTTCTGTGTACCACCTTTTTTCTGTGAGCTGTACCCTGAAGCAGGGAGGGTCCTCCAACACCAGCACACGGAAAGAACAAGATGGCTGCCTCAGCGGAGACAGAGAAAGACCTTTGTAGTTATTTTGAATCTGATTACACTAGATTGAATATTGAATATCATTTCTTTTCTTTTTTTTTGGAGAGATTTTTTGCTATAGGGCGCGTGCGCTCGCCAGACAGACAAAGAGAGACAGAGAGATAGAAAGCGAGAAATCACCCCCCAGGAGGGATGGTCACGCCACAATCCTTTCTCCTCTATTCTCCTCTTGGGATCTTGGGCACACACGCACAGGCGCGCGGCATGAGTTTAAGCCACCGGGTCCGGGACTCGAGCCGCGGTCGACTACGTGCGAGTCCAGTGACATAGCCATTACGCTAACTGCTGGTCCCTCATTTCTTTTCTTTTACAGTTAGCTTCTTAGTTTGTTTTCTTCCTTCTTTCCTTCCTCTCCCTCACCCTTCTTCCCACTTTCTTGCTTTCTTTCTTGCCAGAGGGAGTGTGTGCTCACCAGAGGGGCACAGAGACAAGAGAGAGGGAAAGGAGGAAGCTCCTTAGGGAAACGGTCATGCTGCAATCTCTTCTCCATTTCTCCTCCTTTCAGGATTTTGGGCATGCACACACACATCCCAGAGTTTTCTCAAGCTTCCGGATCTAGGGCTCAAACTATACAGCTCGCCAAGTGGCATCAGGCTGCCTTAAGCACGAGGCCATGGAGCTAGCCCCAGGAATCTATTTCTATTGCTAAAGTAGTCTTTCATTCTTCACTATTTTGCTGCCCATTTTCTGGGAGTAATTGTTTTTGTAGTACTTTCTGGACAGTTCTTTATCAGTATAATGCCTTGGACAAACCCAAATATTTACCATAGCATCGACAATACATTAAGGTTTGTTATTAAATACTTACCAGAACTACTTGTCTTTTGATCAGGAGGTGGCATGATGTCCAGTGACTTATTAAGATCATAATTATTTATATCCAAGAGTCTCTTTTCTTTGATAGAGTCCCATATAAAATCCGGGTTTGCAATATGGATGTGGTTCTTTCGGATAGAGTTCAGTTGGTGCTGACTCAGAACATCAGCATTATCTAAGATCATATGTGTACACTAAGAAAAAAAAGTCAATTCATTACGCATCATTTAGAACTTAAATTATTTGTATCTGTAATTTTCACCCTAAACAGTCTCACTTTAAGCTAGAGTGTAATAATTTTTCTCATATTTCTAAAACCTTTTATAAATAGTACAATGTCTTATCTAAGACATTTATAAATCAACAGTTTTTTTAAAAACATGGATATGAACATACCATAACTAATTAACCAATGTTTGAACCAGTGTAACGAAGGTTACACATTTTCACTACTGCAAGCAAAACTGCAATGAGCATCCTTTATGCACACATCTTTGTGCAACTGTCCAATGTCCCATTGGACATTGAGGTGTGCAATGGAATGTTCAAAGGGTATCCATTATGTATTAAATTTGTTAGTTTACAAAGTTGTTAGTTTTGAATAAATTAATATGTGCACTTTACAAAGTAAATAGTACATTTGTAATATTTACTACGGTTTATTTAGCAAGTAGTGCATGCATTTTACTAAGAAGCAAAATAATGGCCTGTTTAGTTCTTCCCCACCGTTCTTGCTAGTTGCTGCCCCTTGTTGTAACTGTAATAGTTCCTCGTGTATCCTTCCAGAGCTATTCCACACACAGACGATACGCGCAAGTCCACGAAGGGCAGCATACTACTCACACTCTTCTGTACTTGCTTTTCTACTTCACTTATCTTAGAGATCATTCCTCATCCTTAAAAACACGCAGGGCTGCCTCTTTCTTTATAATAGCTGGTATGTGCATTTCAAATGTTTGTAAGCATTGACAAAACATTTTCAAATGTTTTACTTTGCAAAACAAAGCTTGCGTGTGAAAGTTTCTAAAGTGGAAAGACATGTTGACAATTCTCTACCCAGAACGAACTAAGAAGGTAGAACAGATGCGGATTATTCACGCGCCCACAGAAGTGCTGAGACAGGTAAGTGAGCGCACTATACCACGTTCTGCCTAACCTGGAGGTAAACAGGGTATTCCATTTCTGATACTCAGCTGTGGCTGAATTTCCTTCACACAACAGATGGAGCTAACTGTGGCCAAGCCCAGGGCTGTGGTTCAGGGAGGGGGAGGCTGAGTCAGCCCAGCTGGATCCCTGGAGAGGAGAGCAAAGGACAGAGGCCAGCAGGCCTGGCACCTAAAGCCTTTGGACTTCAGTTTTACTTCTTATAAAGTAAAGGTGGTTAGTCTTAATTATTTTCAAGATTTCATCCAGACATGGAATTCAATCTCTTCAATGTCAGGTCTACAGTTTATCTCAAGAGTTGGAAGGTAGCTTCCTTCAGCCTTTAAACAGTAAACAACACACTACACCACAACCAGTTCACACTGCGTTTCTCTTTCTGCCCCCCAGGAGGCACACTTAGTCACTCCAGTGTAGACACACAAGTGAGTCACGACAGTGTGCTTTTTGCAAACACACAATGCACTGTGACTCTTCTCCCGGTCTGAAGTCCTTTCTATTTCAGTCTAATGGCTGTGTTCTCATAGAATATACTGCACAGAGTGAGGACATTGTCCTGACACGGACTGGACAATCCGCCAGCTCCCAGACTTGGAGAAGACTGGGCGGGGTGGCTGGCGCCTCCCATCGCAATTTCTCCCGCTTTCCCTCCTTGCCTCGCTGTCAATCTTCTCTGCTGACTCTAACCGAGACCTGTTCCAAAGGCATGATGTTTATCACACAGTTGTTTATGGGATTTGGAAATACCTGGGGGGTTAATAAAAAGGAAAATTTTCCACCATTTCCCTCAATGTCACTCTGTAGCTTTTTCTTCTGCTGACGAGGTAAGCACTTGACTTTCAAGCAGAAGGTACAATTTGCAAATATTCCCACAGTCATCCTGTAAAACACAAAAAAGTTTTATGTCATAGTTTTTAAGAACTCTTTTCTCAGGGAATATAGGTGAGAGTGAATTTAGAATTGTTCTATACAGGACCAGTAATTGGTGTAATGGTTATATCACTGGACTCCCATGTAGTCAACCACAGTTCAAGTCCCGGACCTGGTGGCTTAAACTCACGCCAGGTGCATGTGCATGTGTGCCCAAGATCCCGAGAAGAGAGTGGAGGAGAAGGGATTGTGGTGTGGCCGTCTCCCCTGGGGGTGGTTTCTGGCTTTCTGTCTCTCTATCACAAAAAAAAAAAAAAAAAAAAAAGAATTGTTCTACATGCAAACTGGGAAAATAGGGCATTATTTTATTTTATTTTATTTTATTATTTTATTTTATTTTATTTTAGACAGAGATTTTTGCTATAGGGCTTGTGCTATAGGGGGGAGAGAGAGGGAGAGAGAGAGAGAGAGAGAGAGCCAGAAAGCAATAAATCACTCCCCAGGGGGGATGGCCATGCTGCAATCCCTTCTCCTCTATTTTCCTCTTGGGATTTTGGGCACATACGCACACATGGTATGAATGTTAAGCCAACGGGTGGGAATTTAGCGACACAGCCATTACACCATCTGTTGGTCCTGGGCATTACTTTCTAAAAAGATATTTTTAGGACTGGCAGGTGGTGTGGTGGTTGAAAAGCTTAACTCCCACGTGGTTGACCATGGTTTGAGCCCCAAACCTGGAGGCTTGCTTTCTCACTTTCTCTCTCTGGTGAGCATACATGCCCTGCAGCAAATTTTAAAAAATAATACAATTATATACCTAATTAAAAATGTATTTTAATCATTATCTTAGCAAAAATTGAACTACTCTAGCTTACAATGTGTTTCTAGCTGTTAGACCAATATGACATCAAAAATCTGTATGGGCTCATAATATACATATAATCTTGTCAATAATATGCATATTAATGAAACATGACAGACTTCAGTTACAGATCAAGTTTGTGGCTCAAGAACATAGAAGCATTTATTTCTAAATTAAAATGTAATATTATATAATAAATAAATAAGTAAATAATTCTTCTGTGAATTCAAAGACTCACTTTATGTGGATATTTGTGAAGCCCATTCTGGAGAAAAATTGGACAACTAGTAATAAAAACATACAACTTGGGACCAGCAGTTAGCGTAATGGCTATGTCGCTGGACTCCCATGTAGCCAACCGTGGTTCAAGTCCCAGACCCGGTGGCTTAAACTCACGCCGCGCGCTTGTGCGTGCGTGTCCAAGATCCCGAGAGGAGAATGGAGAAGGGATTGCAGTGTGGCCATCCCCCCTGGGAGGTGATTTCTCACTTTCTGTCTCTCTGTCTCTCTGTCTTTCTGGCAAGCACATGTGCCCTATAGCAAAAATCCCTCCAAAAAAAAATACAACTTATGTTTAAGTGAAATTTATATTTGTATTTATACAGTTGACGCTTGAACAATGCAGGAGTTGAGGACACCAAAATTCCCCACAAGTAAAAATCCACATATAACCTGTTTTTAGTTTGCTAGAGGGCACGTGAGCTGGCCAGAGAAAGAGAAACAGAGAGAGAAAAAGCAACCCCAGTGAGGCACAGCCATGCCACAATCCCTTCTCCATTTCTCCATTTGGTTGGGAGTTTGGGTACACACACACACATGCACCCAGTGTGATTTTCCAGCCTCTGGGGCCAGGACTGGAGCCATGTGGGAACCCAGCTACCATAACCACCAGGCCACAGCTGGCCCTGAATATAACTTTTAATCCCCCCCAAACTTAACTGCTAATAGCTTACTGTTGACTAAGCCTCACCTATGACATAAACAACTGATTAGCCCATATTTGTATGCTATATGTATATGTATCATGTACTGTTTCCTTACCACAAAGTAAGCTAGAGAAAGCAAATGCTATTCAGCAAATCATAAGGAAGAGAAAATACATTTACAATATTTACTGAAAAAAATCCACCTATACATAGGCCCACGCAGTTCAACCTGGTGTTGTTCAAGAGTCAAATGTATACACACACACACACACACACACACACACACACACACATTAGAATGCATTTGAAGCTGGCTCTGTGGCCTGATGGTTGAGGCAGTCTGATCCCACATGGCCCCATGGGGTAGTTAACCTCTCAGACCCAGAGTGAGTGAGGCCACATGACGGCATGCGTGCACATGAATCCCAAAATCCCAGAAGGAGGGACAAATGGAGAAGGGATCACAGAGTTACCACTCTCCATGGGGAGGGCTTCCACCTCTCCCTCTGTCTCTCTTTGACAAGCAAACGCACTCCCTAGCTAAAAACAAGAGAATGAATTTGAAATTAATGTAATTTTTATTATACCATACATTCTCGCATATGGTAAATAAATACTTTTCAGAATGATAAGCATATTTTGAATTAAAAGTATTTAACAATGAACTAACAAATGATGAGATAGGGAAATTAATCCCCAGTAGCTATTTGTCAGTTTTAAAAACCATAGTCACATCTAGCAGCTTCCTCAGAATAAGCTGCCCAGGTCCAATGCTGACTGAGGAGCAGGACAGACTCGGGTCGCACACTGCCCACCTACTTTCCATAGCCAGCGCCCGAGGTCTGCAGGGGAGCCTCGGGGGTCCTGAGAACGCAGGGCTAAACCAGGTATCGGAGCCTCGTTTCCTCTCCGCCCTGCCTGAGCTGAGATATCCCACTCTTCCAGGCCTGAGGCTCGAGTCTTTCTTGTCCTTTCACCCTGTGGGTAATAGGTAGTGGCACCAGATTGCAGACACAATGCCACTGCCTCACTGACACCTCACCAAATTTCACCTGCACCTCAGTCATGCAACGTTCCCACCTAGGCCTCAGCATTTCCTCTTGGAAGGTGATGGCTGCTGCCCAGCCTTCCTCGACCGCCCTGCAGACTATCCTTTATTCCCTAAGCCCTGCGGCCAGCGGCATCTTGGGCCATTACTGCACCTAAATACAACAATCTGTCCCACTGACGCTCTGGCTCAGGTGCCCCTCAGCAGGCTCCTGACTCTTTGCCCGCTTCTGCCCATCCCTGCCTCTAGTCTTCTCCACATTGTAGCTTGAGTATCACGTTTTTGGGAAAAAAATATATTTCAAAACAAACAGTGTCCTTATTAAAGCGTTCTCTAAATACAGAGTTCACAGGCATTCTCCACATGCTGATTATGTATGGAGAGAATTCGGCAGACATCAGGCTTGCGCTGGTTATACTCCAAGGCAAATCTGCGCAGGTCATTTCAGCCTGTCTTCCTGCCTAGCTCTTTCCCAAAACGACGCGTACCGAGTGTCTTCCATCCAAAGACAACCGGGCGCACTCAGCACTCCCGGCTGCTCTAGAAACGGTCAGAGCAAGCGGCTTCCTGCCCCACAGGTCCAGGTCCGTCAGGGGCGTTTCCCCCTCCTGGCGAGCTCCGGTGTCTCGCTCCTTCCAGGTCGTCCCGGAGCCCTCCTCTGATTGGCTTCCCTGTTTCGATCACACACCCGCTCTGCGATCATTGGCTGTTCTCCACCCTTTAACCACAACTTTTTCAGGAAGGCCACCCTGGGCGAAAGGCTGTGCCTAGTTTATGTTAATACACCTAGAATTCAGATCTCTTTTGATAAACAAGCATTAAAAAATGCTTAGTTACCAAAAACTCCTTCACACATGGATTAAACCCAGGGTTATAAAAAACCTTATTTACATATTTGTACCCAAATGACATCCATAACGCACCTCCCTAACGGGATTATTAAACCCCTACAAAGCAGTTGGTTCCACTCCTGCCCCGGGGCAAGTCATAGATAATGGAAGAATTTGCAACACATAAACTTTCAGAGTGAATTTATCCTTTATCATAACGCCACGTTTGGAATATTGTTGTAAATTTACTGTCTTTTAGCAGCCCAGAACCGAAAGCGTGAGCGACTATTTAGCTGCGCCGCGGTTTTCTACAAATCAGGATCTGGCGTCTCGGTTCTCTGGAAACCATCGGCCTTCCCCCTCATAACTTGCAGATTGACAATTTTGTGTGCTTGCTCAACAAGCACATCGTTTCTATCATTGTGATCCGATTACGACTTCAGGTTTCATTTCCTGATTCACCACCTCCGTCCTTTTGCACAAGAGTCCTAACTTTCAGAAAGAGGACAGGTAGTTTCGCACGTTGGAAACAAGCAGCACGCATCTACTGCGATCTTTGATTCCCCAGAGGGCGAGAGAGATGCGGACACCGGAATCCGAGTGCCGGCTCCTATCTGCGCCTCAGCCCAGGTGTCAGGTCACAGGGAAGGCGCCGAGGCGCAGAGCCGCACTCCCGCTCCGACCTCGCTGCCACCTACAGCAGCTGACTGGCCAAGGACAACTGCGCGACCACTACAGCGAAGGCGCGGTGCAGAGCGTGTAGGTCACCTCCCGGCAACTACCAGGACCCTCGGCGGGGACTCGCCTGGGAGAGGAACTGCCAGCCACCCTGCGGCGCCCACGCACCTGCCAGAGGATCCGGCCGGCT